GTGGTGTTAGATGAATTCGGGTTGTGAAGGTGCGGGAGTTGGTGTCGTGTTCCCTCGATTGGGGGTGGATCGTTCTAGGGCTAGGTTTGGGGCTCGGGTTCGACTGCTTGTATAGGCGTGTTCGCAGTTTCGGTACTAGTGCCTGGGCTCGAGATTTTCCTTGGATTGATTGATCTCTGCGGGCCGAGCTCGTTGGCCGGTTGGGGAAGGGCTTTGAATGTAGTAGTTTAGTTATTTTATTTCCTGTTTTTGTAGGCTTGTGTTGTTTCGGTCTTGTGTTTTGGTTTGGGTCGTTGGCCCCTGTGAGCCCGAGTGTCTACTTATTATCCTGTTGGGATCGGACACTCGGATATTATCCTGTTGGGGTCTTTTTAGTTTCTTAGTTTTTCGTTTATTAGTGTTGTTGTGTGTCCGTGAGTATTACCCCGTTGGGGTCGGCTCTAGGCGGTCCTTGGACTGTCCTCTCAGTTTTTCAGTTGTTGGATGTCTGTATTCAGCTGTTGGCTGTGTGTATTCAGTTGGTGGCTGCTCTTTTGCACATTTGTGCCATTTTATATAAAATCTCTATCGTTTTGGCAAAAACAAAAAAAAAAAGAAAAAGAGCGTGTGATAATAAACTTGGTAATGTTTATTATTATTTTATTACCAATCTATTTTTTTTATACTAGGTTTCAAAAGGTAAAATAATTTTCAAATTCTCAGTCTCAATAATTGTGCATTTAAAAAATTATATTTAATGATAATATTTAAAAACTATATTTAATGATAATATATTTAAAAAAATATATTTAATGATAATATATTATTTGTTAATAGTACACAATTTTAAAAACTCCATTATAAATTGTATGTTGATATCCAAATCATTTTATAAATGCAATCGACTTTGTTAAATATCCACGAAAATATGGTAAACAAAATGAGACGATCAACTTTGTATGTAAATAAAATAGAATCAATAAATCAACATGAAGTTCAGAGGAAATTAACATAATGAATAATTTGTATAGTACACGGATCTAAAAATTAATACTCATGTGGATTCTAAAATTCAAACTTATATTTATCATCATCTTTTGAAAATTGAATAATATATTGTAGGCAAGATTTTTTTAAATAATTTTAACATGTTTTATTTATAAAATAGTTCAGAAAAATTTTAGGTGACTTCACATCTTTCAATAAGGATATATAAAATTTTAGATACTTTACATACGTTATATAATATTTTAGGTATTTTTAATATTTTAAACATACATTTTTTATGTTATTTTATACAAAATAATTTTATATTGTTTACATCTGATATACGATAAATTATGTCATATATGAACTGCACATCTTAATTACAATTATTAATTAATATTGTTTACCCTTATATTTAATTTATAATTATGAGTTAATATTGTTTACTATCATCTTTAATTTATAATTATTATTTAATATTATTTACCCGTGCGATATACACTAGTTTCCAATCATTTATCTCTTACTTTTATAATCAAATCAATAATAATCATTTTATTTTAAATATTATTTTAATACATTATTAAAATTCCACTAACAACTAACCATACCACCTTTTTTAAATTTAACTCTAGTTAATCAAAATATTTCATTTTGAGCAAAATATTTCATAAACAAGCATGCCCTAAATATTTTGCATACAAAATTTGTACATTTAAGTGTTAATAATATTGTATCTCACAATAAATATTTACTATGTCATTATATTTACATAATTTTTATTTTTTATATAAAAAAAATAATAAAATTACAGAGACCGGGTCAACCGGGTTGACCCGGGTCGACCGGGTTTTGACCGGGTTTGACCAGGTCTATTGTTATCCGGTCCAAATAGCCCAACCGGACCGGGTTAGACTCCGGGTTGACTGGGTCCCGGATCGACCCGCCGGGCCGATCCAGATCAAAAAAACAATGATTTGGATATTAATTTACCAATCATTTGTTATTATTATTTTTAGTTTTTACATCATATTAATTTTCATCTTTACATCTTAGAAAAGAATAAATTTAAAAATTATATCCAATCTTTTTTAGATTAGTTTCATTGCTATGAAATCTAAGTTGGGCTATGATTTGATCAATTAAGAACATTGAGGTTTAAGGTACATGGATCCAAGAACTAGCAAATCGTGGCCCTGTCAACTTTGACAAGCAGCTGCTTGAAATTTTATTATATTTTATTTAATCTTTTTTTCTAAAGATAAGACATTCAAAATAAACTATATAAGCCCATTATAAATTAATTATAAATTAAAAATTAATTATAAAAATAAATCATAAATCAATCACTATAAATATTAGTATATTTGAAATTTACAAAAATAATAATAACTATACAAATAAAATCTATACTAAAAGAGGTTTATTATAGTTGAAAACTTTTTTTTGGTCAAATCTGCTTGACTTTCCAACAGTAGAATTGTTAATATAATTTAAAAAATGAAACTATTTTTCCTATTTCCTGATTTTACACATGAAACATAAATCTGAATGTATTTGATAGAAAAACTATTTTATTTCATTACCTCACGGATTAGATTTTTTTATCCATAAATTTTAAAAATTGATCGAATTATTTATGTTATTCGCTTTAAAATATGTAAAACTGAAAAACAATAAGAATAATTCATAACTTTTTTTCTTTTTTTTCGGTAGATTTCTATATTTTAGTACATATCAATTTGTAGTAATTCATAACCTTCTCGGTTTCCTTTTTAGCCAATTTGAATTGTAAAATAAAAAAAAATCAATTAACTGAAAACACATAAACATATACCTTACCTGATATTCCTTTTTTAAAAAAAAAAAAAAAAAAACTTATAAATATTCATTTGCATTTTATTTAAAAAAAAAACATATATAAGTATTCATTTACAGTATTTTATGATCACTACAAAATAATATGTATATTTTAAATTTTTGCAACTTGCGGGTTAGAATTTAATATCAAACTAAAAAATTCATGAATTATTTTTTCGCGGTATTCAGTCATAGCCAGTTATACATTGTTGTAATCCGTATTACTAACCAAAACAGTTTGAAAGTATTAATTTGTGATAACATTGACTCTCTCACAAATAAAATAACAAAATGTTGCAAGTAAGTTAATTGCAAATTTGGTCCCGTTAGATTAGGACGTTCGCAATTTTAGTCCCAAGAGGCGCAATTTCAGTCCTTAACTAATTTTTGTTGCGCAATTGGTCCCAAATCTAACTGAACGTTAAGTCACCGTTTGTCATTAGTCACAAATATTGAAAAAATTGCAAATATAGTCCCATAAGATTTGTTTTGTTGGAAATTTGTTCCCAAATATTAAAAAAAATAGTTTTATTACTAATTTTTGTTGCAATTTTTATTCCGTGAGTATATAACAATATTTTATAGTAAAAATTTAGGTGAGACAAAAAATAATAATTGCTATACAATGTTTTCTATATTTAAAATTAATTTTTATTAAATATTAAATATATTTAAAAAATAGTAATTATTTAATTTTATTAGAAATATAGAATTCTAGAGGTTAATAAAATTTATAAATAAAAATAAAAATAAAAATAGAAGTAATACCAACTACTATTGGTTGAAAGCTCGGCCAAATTTGTTGTTGAATCGATAATTGGTCAACTAAACGGTTTGATTCCTTTAAACGGATTGATTCCAATGAACCGATTAGAATTAGTTGAATGGACTGGTCAATAATATATATATTTAAATAAGTTAATAAATTTTATATTTTTTAATATAACAAAAATATAAGTTTAAATATATTTGATATATATAAATTCAAATATATTTGAATTTATATTATTATGTTTTATGTATTCAAAATATTTTTAATTAAATAATAAATATTTTTACAAAATAATTATTTAATATTATTATAATTATATTGGATGATAAAAAATAAAAATATAATTTTAGAGGTTAATAAAAATTTAAAACGTAAAATAAAAATAAAAATAAAATCAACTACTATTATTTTTAATTTTTAGAATCGGTCAAATGATTGGATTCATTTGAAAGAACTGGTTTTCAATGAACCAGACAGAATTGGTTGATCAGATTGGTCAATTGTATATATATATATGTGTGTGTGTGTGTGTGTGTGTGTGTGTGTATATATGATATATAATTTTAAATTCATATTTATATATTTTTATTTTTGATATATTTGATATATAATTTTAAATTGGTTGATCGGACTGGTCAATTTTATTATTTGATATATTTTTTAAATTCATATTTATATATATTTTTAATATAACACAAATATAAACTTAAATTCATAGTTGATATATGCCAAAAATATTTTTTATTAAATCATATTTTTTAAATTCATATTTGATATATAACAAAAATATTTATATATGTTTTAATATAAAAAATATAAATTTAAATATATTATATATATATAAATTCAAATAAAATTAAATTTATATCATTATTAATATAATAAAAATTTTAATTGCAATACAATGTTTTCTATATTTCAAATATTTTTAATTAAATAATAAATATATTTAAAAAATCATCATTTAATTTTATTATGATTATAGTGGTTGATGAAAAATAAAAATATAACTCTAGAGGTGAATAAAATTATAAAAAATAAAAATAAAAACGAAAAGTTATTTTATATATATTAAATATGAGAAAATTGCAAATTTAGTCCCAAAATTGCAATTTTAGTCCTTAGAGTTAACGGTGACTTAACGGTCAGTTAGATTTGGGACCAATTGCGCAACAAAAATTAGGTAAGGACTAAAATTGCGCCTCTTGGAACTAAAATTGCGAACGTCCCAATCTAACGGGACCAAATTTGCAATTAACTCGTTTTCAGTAATATATGATATGATTTTGTTATGTTGTTTACGAGTTATGTATTGTTGTCACATGCATAATATCTTATGTCACAATTTAACATGGTTCAATTTTAAAGATTTCACTTTAAATATGTTATGCTCGCGCGGTGGCGAGTAGTGAAATTGGAATAACCTATGTAATTTTCTCTTTAATCAATCACCTTAACTCGCTTTAAAAGAACAGAAACTTTTCAAGGCCCCAGATTCTACCCAGCTGACCACCCAACTCCACAATCAAGATTCAACTTTGAAGCATTTAAACTTTTATGTTTGAAAAACTTCCTCCGTTTTTTCATCAAACCATTCTGATTTTTTGTCTACCTTTTTCGTTTCCCCAGTTTGAGAATCTTTTTGCAGACCAATTTCGTGTATATGGCATAAATCTCACGCGACCCCAAAAGAGAAAAATCTTCTTTTGCTCCCCAGGATTTGTTCATAAAAGAATGGAAAAAATGATGAGCATATTAAAGCCAAAGCCCAATCCACAGCAATTACTGAGAGATTGGCAGCGTCGCCTTCGCCAAGAGTGCCGTAATATTGATCGCCAAGTCCGAGGTTTCTATTCATATGTTGTTGATATTATCATGTTCTTCCCCCCTTTTTTGGGTTTTTTTTTAAATATAAAATGTTATTTATTTCCAATTTTAGGTTGATGTGTTTAACAAAAGAACTAAAAGTTCTAATTTTTTACCACTTTGATTAGATATACAGAGAGAGGAAAGGAATGTGCAGAAAGCGATCAAAGAGGCTGCAAAAAGAAATGACATGGGTTCTGCTAAGGCACTGTAATTATAATTCTGATTTGTTTTTCTTTAATTATATACCTTACAATTTTCGAATGTTTGTATATAAGCATGGGGAGACTATTAAAGCTTAATAGGAGGTCTACTGAAGTCCTTTTAATGTATGTGGATTGAGAAGTAAAGATGTGGCCCTTTTCCTTCCTTTTCTTCTTCTTCTTCTTCTTCTTCTTCTTCTTCTTCTTCTTCTTCTGGTTCACTCATATAGGATATTTTGTTCTTTACTTACACTTCCTACAAAAATATAATGTTTCTGATCTATGGCTGGATGATTGTTTATCATCTTTCGGATACGGACACAGTGTCATTGTGGATAATTAAGATGTACATGGAAATGTAGTTTCTTTCATTGTATTTAGCCTGATGGTTTTGACATCTGAAAGTATTGTGTTCGTGCTGAGATTTTGCTTAAGTTATATCCGGAGTTGATAATGTTCTCAACATTAAATGCTTTTGTTTCATTCCCGTTATGTGCTGGAAAACATGATCTCATTTTATTTTGTGATGGAATCCGTAATTTTGTTGCTTCATTTACTTCTTATTCTAGGTGGGACTCCTCTATATAATGTGGGTAATTTGGTGGAAAACTTGCATTTAGGATGTGCAAAATAAGTGTTTAATATGATAACCATTTGTCCCAACAGGCTCTGGCCAAGGAAATCGTGAGATCTAGGAAAACAGTGAACCGCCTATATGAAAACAAGGCACAGTTGAATTCAATATCAATGCATCTTGGAGAAAGTGTTGGTAAGAATCAGTTATGTTTTCAGTCTCCCTTTTAATGGGTTTACATGGGTTTTAATTCTGTTTATCATTGTTGGCCCTGTCTTCTTCAGAGAAGTGTTAAATTTTTGGGATTACTGTGTAATACCTTATATGCGTTTAGCTACTTGCCATTTTGTATCTAGTACAATTATTAAATACTCTCCATTATTGTCATCAGTAATGATCTCATGCAGACATGATTCTCACCTGAACAAGTGTGGAACATTTGTTTTTTCATGGAAATTTAGTGTTAATCATCTTCTGGTGCTTCTTTTTGTCTGCCTTCTGATCACACTTATATCTAGTCCTCTGTATGTGAATATTCTTTCTTTATTGCTTCTTTCAGATGTTCTGAAATTTGAGACCTTCCTTATTTAGGTTTTCTTTAGTGAGTCTAATCCTATCTTAGCAGAAATTAACCCATGCTTAAAACTGCCTCTTATTTTTTATTTGTCGACGTCCCCTTACTCCTGAAATGCTGCAAGAGTTGCCAAACATGAAGACCAATATATAGTTCACCTTTTATTTTTCTTTTTTCTAAGTGGGCAAATGTATTGTTAAATTGTAGATGACAAGCTAACAGAGTATTTCCTAGAAAGATGCATTAACATCATGCTTTCTTATCAACAAGAACGTTTAGCTGCTTTTGTTAGATTTACTTAATTTTGCTCTGGATTTGCAGCCGTTGCTCGAACAGTGGGGCATTTGTCGAAAAGTGCAGAAGTAATGAAGCTTGTTAATAATCTTATGAAGGCTCCAGAAGTAGCTGTCACCATGCAAGAATTCAATAAAGAAATGACAAAGGTGTGCTTGTCATTTCCTTATAATATATTCGAAAGACCATTTTCATAGTCTTTCTTCCCGAGACAAGCTGATTTCTCAAAGTGTTTTCTCAGCCTTTTTTTATAAATTATAATAACTATTTAATTAAGCCATGGTGGGTCTTCCCAGTTCAATCACAACAAGAGTGATGTTAGAAAATGACACAAAATTGGATATGAGGCCTCAATATATTTAGCATGTCGGCATAAAATTGGGGCTTCTTTTAGAATTGCCTGGCTCACAGTATTTTTCAACATGTCTGCAAAATTGCACATGAAGACTTAGTATATTCAGCATGTCCATGTAAATTGGTGCTTCGTTTAGAAATGTTTGGCCTGCAATACATGTAACATGTAGATGTAAAATTGGATATGAGGCCTCAGTATATTTAACAGGCTTATTAAAGCATGATGATATGAAAGGCTAGATAGTTTGAGTTGGATTAGATGTTCTTTCCTTGTGAGGCATTGTTAGATATGTGAAGTGAACAATGATGAAAATGTAAATCCCTAATCCACCTCGTAAATCTCATTATCTACACTCCAGTAAATTATGAAACTCGTTCATGGATCTGCTGGTATTGATAAAATTTAAAAACAATGTTTCACGATATTGTATGTCCCTTATTTATGTAAAATACTAATGTTGGCCTTATATTTTCACATATCTTGTTAAATAGCTTTTGCAGTTCGTTTAATCTCTGTTGATTTGGCCATCAGTATTTTCTTTTTCCCCAAATATTTTCATTTTACGAAAAGATGCAACGAAAAAAATTGATCTGAAAGCTAGAAGATCTGGCCATGCTAAAATGTGATTAGACTATGCCAAAAGATTTTATATTCTCGTGAAAAAGTTGTTTCAGTGAATGTTTCTTTGATGCATCAAGACTGTATTATGCCAAAAATAAAAATAAATAAAAAAAATCACCAGGCTGGTGTGCTGGAGGAGATGGTGAATGATGCCGTGGACAGTGCACTGGACTCGGAAGACATTGAAGAGGAGACTGAAGAAGAAATCGAGAAAGTCTTAACAGCTATTGCTGGCGAGACTGCTGCTCAACTTCCTGATGCAGTTAGGAACGAGAAACTAAAGCAAGCGACAACAAGTGAAGATGCTGAGGTATGGCAAGACTTTGCAAGTGTCCCACTTTTGTGTTACTTTTAGTCATTTATGTTTCACCATGTGTATGATGTCTTATTTTTCTTTCTTTCTTTTTATTTTTTTATTTTTTGTTGAATTTATAGAAGATTATTGACGAGGAGGAAGAGATGGAAGAAATAAGGGCCCGTCTAGCCAGAGTCCGAT